CGGGGACGGCCAGTCCAGCTCCGTCAGCACCTCTGCCGGGGGGAGGAGGCACCGAGGACTGTGAGCGGGCCCAGGAGTCTCGGCTGGGCCTCTGGAGGGCTGGCCCCGAGTCTCAGACTCAGAGCTGAAAGTTTGTTGTTTCCAAGAGATGGGGCTCGTTGGACGTGAGACCCTGGGTCAGAGATCCGCAGGGCGAGCCCTGTGTGGTGACTCACTCGGGGCCCCGGGTGCTGGTTGCAGGCCCTGCCCTGGTTCTCGCTGCGCATCCAGCCGAGTTCCAGATGCTTCCAGCAGGGAAGGGGGCTCGGCCTGGTGAGGAGACGTCTGCTGTCGTTGCTGTCATCTGGAACCCTCTTGAGCGGCTGAGCTCTCTGTTGCAGAGGCAAAACCGCTCGCCTTTAGGAGGTGAGAGGTTGTGGACCCTGTTCTGCCCCCGAGTGACTCGCAGAAGCCGCACCTCACGTGCCCTGCGTCCTCGCTGCCCAGGGCGCGGACGCCTGTCTCCCCGGGAGGGGTTTTGGGAGCAGAGACGAGGAGGAGCGTGAAGGGCACAGGGAGAAACGGCCGCTGAACACACAGGGGGTCGGCACGCACGGCCAAGACCCGCGCCCGTCATGGCGGGAGTCTGGTGCCTCCACCGGTGTCATGCACAGCGCGCAGAGAGGAAGGGACGCCTGCCACCGTGTGGCACCACCCCACTGGCTCCCCGGAAGGCGACGGGCCCTGAGGACCCTTTGCGGAGCGGTGGCAGCTGCAGAGATGCGGGAGGGTCAGGACGGAGCTGACCCTGCACAAGACAAGAGCGGGCAGCGAGGGTGGAGGAGACGGGGCTGGCCGGGCCGGGGAGGTTCAGCGCTGGCAGGCGGCCGGCAGGGAGAGGAAGGGGACACAGTGGCGGGGCGCAGGGCTCTGGAGCCGGCTGATACAGGGTGCGAGATGGGAACGCGCCGCAGGTCTCCCCGTCAAGAGTTTCCGAGAGCAGAGACTGCCTCGGCTTCCCAAGGGCTTGCGTGTGGCGGCTGCAAGGTCGGAGCAAGGTCAGATCCACGGGTGCTGCCGGAGAGCGGCCACAGGCAGGCTCCGCTGCCAGGGACACCCCGTGTCTCCACTGCAGGAGGACGCCCCGTATTCCCACTGCAGGAGGACACCCCGTATTCCCACTGCAGCAGGACACCCCGTGTCTCCACTGCAGGAGGGCACCCCCATGTCTCCACTGCAGGAGGACACCCGTATTCCCACTGCAGGAGGGCACCCCCATGTCTCCACTGCAGGAGGACACCCCGTATTCCCACTGCAGGAGG